GAGATCCCAGGTTCGGAGAGGGCGAGTGCCGAGCGGGACCAGCTCCCCTCACCCAGCGGCTGCCGGAGCAGCCCCCGCCGCCCCACACCCCGGGCCCGCCGGCACCTGGGCCCTGGCGCTGCCCTCCGCCCTTCCCTCGCGGGGTGCCCCGCTCGCTCTCAGCCTGCCGCTCGGGCACGCTCTGCCCTCTCCCCAGAGAGGAGGACGCCTCGCCGGGGGAGGACGCGGCCGCGGCCAAGGCCTACACCTCCCGCTCCGCTCACCTTCCGCAGCGCCCCCGCCATGGCCCTCAGAGGACGCGGCGGAGGGCGCGCGGCTGCGCACGCGCCAGAGCGGCCCGGGCGGGCGGGGCGGGGCCAGCGCGCGTGCGCGGGTGTGCCCACCGGAGGGTGTCCGTCCCGGGAATTGTGTCCGCGGAGCTCCATTGCTTACGCGGTGTTTGGCGCTCCGTGTGATCACTTAATAAAGCAAATAAATGCTGACAGAAAATAGAGAACTTAATTAAGGGGCTTGATATAGGGACAGTGGGGGGAAAAAACAATGGAAAGACAGGTTAAATAATTGGTAGAGATGGACACGGTGTTCATTTGAAGATCCAGTTGTCCTATTAGGTCTTATCCTTACGCCTAGTTGCTAATTTAAAGGGTGAATTTTGCATAGGGAGTAATTCCTTATAATAATTGTAACTTTTAAGAGATATTAAGCTGTTAGAGAGTGTCCAAAGGAAGGCACTGAAGATGTTGGAAGGCCTTGAGGGGATGAGGAGCGGCTGAGGTCACTTGGTCTGTTCATCCTGGAGAAGAGCAGACTGAGGAGAGACCTCACTGCAGTTACAACTTCCTTGGGAGGGAAGGAGGAGGGACAGGCACTCATCTCTTCTCTGTGGTGACCAGTGACAGGACCTGTGGGGATGGCCTGGAGTTGTGTCAGGGGAGGTTTAGGTTGGGTATGAGAAAGAGGTTCTTCACCCAGAGGGTGTTTGGGTGCTGGAACAGGATCCTCAGGGCAGTGGTCACAGCACCAAGCCTGACAGAGTTCAAGAAGTGTTTGGACAATGCTCTCTGGCACCTGGTGTGGCTCTTGGGAATGGTCCTGTGCAGGGCCTGGAGCTGGACTCGATGATCCTTGTGGGTCCTTCCAATTCAGTCTGTGATGCTGTCATTCTATCATCTTCTGGACAAATTTTTCTTTATAGTTCCTCTGTTAGTTATAGTCCTGCTGTTGTGCTCCTCTTTTCTATAACTGCTAAGCAAACTCATCACACTGAGTTTCAGAATATCGAGTTCTCCCTGAAACCCTGTCCTTTAATAAAACATGCACTACTGCCAATCTGTAACTAAAGCAAAGTGATTCTATACAAATTAAATCCAAATTCCGGGTTTGTGCTTCCCCACTTCTGTGTGTTCTTTGTGATTGTATCAGAAAGACCTGGGGTTTCTTTCCAAGGCACAGAGACTCTTTTATGAAAATGATGGTGTTTGAAAGTTTCTGCGTTTTTTAAATAAGATCATCCCTGCATTTTCCACCTCTCTCTTATGGCCCAAACAGATGATCCCTTCTGATTACACTAGTCAACCACAACACAAATTTTTCTGTGTCAGGCAATATTTTAGCTCAGTTACCATAGTTCAAACAGTAGTTCTCTTTTTCTGTTTAAACAGACCAAACACGTGAGTGTCCTTGCCACATCCTAATACAAAGAGTATAAAACAGTAGGCCTTGTTGATGAAAATGTTAATGAAATCAATCCTGAAGTGATACTGTAGGAAGTTCCTGGAATTGTCAAACCCCGTTTGACAATAAATACATAATTTATTTTAAAACATAACAAAGACAAGACCTAAGAAGTATTATCAGTGTACATTCAACAAGTACATGGTTTTGAAAACAAACAAAAAAAAACCCCAAAACACCCACATAGCATTTCACAGTTTATTTATTATCTGTTTAAGATTGGAGACTCCATTAACAGTATTATTCTGTGTGTTGATATACAGTATGTTGGCACCCTAAGAAGGCCTTCTTATTTCTGTGACTCCTTGTCCCTTGCTTGTCTTGTCAATGAATTTATCTCACAGTGAAGCCTTACAAATTGCCATATGATTTGGTATCTGGACAAAAGTCTTATTTATTCTGCATGGAACATAATTGATAGACTTATACCTAGTAATTATGTAAGAGTGGAATCAGACACTTTATGTAGCAATCAAGAATATTATTAAAAATATCTGAAAAATCAAAACAATAGTAGTTTGTAGTGTGGATATGTACTAGTTGTGGTAGTGTTCTGGTTATGTAAAGGAAATGAAAAAACTCAAATAATTAAAACATTTGTGTTCTTTATATGTATTATAAATTTTTTTTAAGTAGATAAGAATATATTTCTGTTCATGTCATCTTGTAACCAACAGTAGTAGAGCAAGATCTCAGCACTGTTTCTGCTTCTGTTGTACTGTGTTCTTCTAGGGTTGTGCCACACTCAGGTCACACTGGCAAAAGAAGTTGCAATGAATATTGTTTATCATTAAATGGTGTTTTTTTATGTCATGTTCAAAGATTAAAATGCATGTAGTGCCTTAGTTAAGCTTACAGTTTTGTGGTTCTAAAGTGCAAACAAACCGAGGGTCATGGAAGAGTTCATAGTGTATAATTTCATTTCATTAGAACAATTAAAGATATGTTGGAAGGTGGGTTTTTTTTGAGTTTGTTATGTATCCTTATTGTCTGCTCATTTTGGTAAAAATGATAACTAATTGGTTAAAACCAAAACAAACCAGAGGGTTTGAATCTGTAATTTGTTTCCAGCTTCTTCCTCATGCCAGGCCTGGGATTAAACTCGCTAGGTACTGCTGATCTTGACATTACGCTGTGGTTATTACATTTTTTCATGACTGCTGTCTGTGGTGCCATGCCTTCTGCTTCTTTGTCCAATTTCAAATTATTAACTCCAGTTAAATAAGTATTGTAATGGTCTGCCATTGAATCTATAAAGCTTTGCATCATGTCAGCCTCAGAGAGAGAGATTACTGTTTAGTGATATATTATGGTGGAATCTGCAACTAGCTAAAGGCTAAACCTTCTCAGATTTGTTGTGATTTATGTAAATATGCTGCCAGATTTTGTTAATATAGCCCTTGAGAATAATTGGCAAATAATTTATTTTCTTAATGGGAATTGTTTAACCAATGGGGGCACAGATAATCTTCTTATACCTCCCAGACCTCGTGTTACATTTGATGAGATTTTAGAGAAGTCATGTGTAATACTTTCCTGTGGGTCGAGTCAGCTTATGTTACAGTTGTACAAGGTCAGACCTTAATTTATCTAGCAACTGTGTATTTAATTTTAGAAGTATCACAGGACACCTCAGCTTGCAGGGCACCATTCCTGGCTGTTCAAAATGCAAGCCCCAGAGTAACAGTGGCAAGAATGGTTTCAAAAGGTGAGAATATGGTATGCTCGCCAATTAGACTAACAGAGAAAATAGTTTATAACTGTAATATTTAATACACTGAGTCCAAATTTAGATTGCTAATTATTATTTTATTGCTATGAATAACCTCTTTGCATGCCTAAGGGCCTTCTATTTATAGAGTGAAGCTAAGATTGTCTAGTTTATTTTAAGGATAAGAAATTAGAATAACATTAACTCTCACATAACTTCATGTGTTTAAAAGCAATGAACACTTGATACACTTCTTTCCAAGGAAGGATGCAACTTCCATGATTAGCAAGTAGTTAATATTTTTTCCAATGAAAAAACAATAATTTAGAAAGCAACATCAAGAAGTAATATCTAGTTTTTCAGGCATGAATGTAAAAAAAAAAAAAAAGAGAGAAAAATATCAGGCTACTCAAAATGCTGTTTAAGGAAAATATTCTTGGTAATATAAAAAGTAAAACTCATTTAGAGTAGCATTTGCAGTTGTTTCCAGTGATCTAGTGTGTGGGTCTAGCAATTGATAAACAGCCAAGGGTAAATGGAAGAAAATTTCGCTGCTGAGCTATTTAGCCTTTTTATTGCCATGTAACATAGCAGGGATGTCTCTGCTGCTGCTCAGTGTACCAGCCATGCTGTTGTGTTCCCCTGTGATCCATGTAGAACATCCACACTTCACTCAGACCTTGTCACCTCAGCACAGTGTATTATCAGCAGTGATATAGCAAATCAGGCTCTGAAAGCACGTATAGACCCCTGGCAATGTGTCCAGCACTTGTGCTGTGCTGAGCTGTTTCACTTACGCTCACTCTACCCTGTCACAGTCCCTTGCTATGTTACTGACTTTCTTATTTTATAATATGTTATTTTTTGTGCGATAATTTGAAAACAGTACACACAACTATTCTGAAACACTGCTCCTCTGAGACCTTACTGGTTAAGTCTGTATTCAAGAAGATCTTTGTGTTACCTGTGACATAATCAGTCAGGAGAGTATAGCAAAGCAGGAGATAGCTGCCACGTGGGTATGGAAATTATATGACCAGAGAAAAGTTTCTATGATGGCCTCTGAACTGATTTATTCCTTTTATCTTTTGGAGAGAAAGGGGTGGTAGAAAGGCAATAAATTTTTTCTGAAAATAAATTGATTTTCTTACTAGGCAGCTATAATGTTTAGTGCTCTTAACTGTTCTTGCAATCACTGGTGTTGGAGGGTAGTGATCATCTCATAGGACTAAACCATATGTGAACAGCATTATAAAGATACTGTAATGTACTAAAATAGACTTATTTTCAGATAGTTTGCAATGTGAGGCTCTGATCTAAGGCCTGTAGAAGTCTTCGGGGGCCTTTTTGCTTCAGGCTCTAGGGTAAATATAATATGATAGGCTGCAATATAATAATTGTCAGTCTCAGTTCTCCTAAGCACAGCAACTTCAGTAAAGCTTGCAGGGCATGAAGGTCCATCCATGTGAATCCAATCGGGTGGTCATGACTCACTGAAAAGATTCTTCAGAAATTTCATCAATGGCATAAAGTCTTCAAATATAGAACTTTCAAAATGAAAGGTGTGAAGAAGGGGAAGGTAACTTCTGTTTGCCGCAAAGCTGTTTCAGAGGAAATGAGATTATGAATTTTACAAATTTTTCCTTAATAAATTATCTTATTAATAATGTTATCTTATTCAATTTCATTGGGAACACCTCTTAGCTGCCAATGAAACGTTAATGAATTCTAAAATGTACTTTCCTTTTAGCTAATGGCAGGCTGAGGTTGTAGGTATGTTTATTGAGATATACTCCTAAACCTACTAGTCCATGAGAGATTTTATCTTTGCTGTCTAAAGGGTTTGTGAGTCTTCAGAACAGTGTGTATTTGTGGGTTAAATGACGAAAGCTTTAATGTACCATCACAATTAGAAAAGTGCTTATGAAAATGAGAGGATAAATACATACAAAAACCTTGACTGAGAATTCTCCTGCCCGTCAATAGAGCACATAGCCCACAAGAGATGAGGGAGAGTGGTGTGTCCGCATTGTGATGGCCAGTTCATCAGTCTAACTTACATGTTAAATCTTCTTTTGGACTGTTATGCTGCAGCCTTGATTACAGACATAATAGGAAGGAAAAGAGAACCTTTTAGGAAAGCATTGTCTCTTATGAACATCATCAATCTCTGTTCTTCTAAGCCCCAAAATAAAAACGTTTCTGTGACTATCACTTTATTCATGGACTCCTTTGTGTGTGTGTGTGTTCAGAGATGGCACTCAAGACCAAAGTTGTGTATTTTTTCCTTCAGAGAAAATGAGATTGAAGTGCACTTTTTTTTTTACTTTCCTTCAGATTTCCTTCCTTGCAGTTAAAAATCAGACCATTGTTCCAGTACATACTGAAAGAGGTGGGAAACTGTATTATGTGGGAATTTGAATCCAAGAGTTTCTGAGTCAATCTGACTGTAAGCCCTTACTAATTTAATTTTGGTTTGTAAGCTTTATCGTAATATACTAAGTAGTAAAGTATTTGGGGATGGGATTATAACATTGGCTATGGTACTTTGATTGACTTACTGCTTACGAGAGCAATGTAGAAATTAAAAAGAAAGCTGATTAATACATTCCCTTGAAAATAATTTTCAGAAAATGTCCTCCAAATAACTTTTCCAATGTTCCTTCTCTCTTTGCAGAATGACTAGAATGCACTATGATGATGATTCTGTGAAAAACATACAACAGGCGCTTAGTATAATTGTTCAATATTTGTGCAGCACTCTGATGATAAGTGTTCAGTGTGGTAGATACAGCACACGACTGCACAAACTGTGGGAGTTGTAGTTTAAAATTTAATAAAAAAAAATAAATTAACATCTAGTGTCCTCAGTCTGATTAAAGGACAAATATGTTAAGCCACTAAGATTGAATCAAACAGAGAAACCGTCAAAACTCAAAGCTCACCTGGAAAAACCTAGGTAGGTACAGCTAGACATACATTAACTTAAGGTTTTTTCCTTGAGTATCTTTTACCATAGATAAAACTACATTTTACACTTCAAAAACCTAGAAGGTTTTGTAAAGAGCAACATTCCTGACCTTCCAGTTAGTCAGAACTTGCTAGCAAGACAGTCAGTTGGTGTGATATCACTAGTAAAAAGCATAGAGAACATAAGCCACAGTTAAAGTTAGTGGTACGAGCAGACTGAATTTAAATTGATGACTATAGTTAAAAGGTTTGACATACTCTGTTACTAATCCACTGAGCGTTTCAATGACTCTCACACCTTGGAAATAATAGCTGACATGGCTTGACCATTACCCGGGCTTGTGTACCCAATACCCGTGAATGTCCATTAAACTGCATGACTGCAGAAGCAGTGCAGAGACTGCAAAGTTCTTTGTATTTTTTGATAGGCCATGCCTTGGCAGTATAGAGATAAAGCTATATTTGTGTTTGTGGTTTGTTTGGGATTTTTTTTACATATTGAGTATCATTAAAAGTGATAATTAATGAGACACAATGAGACCATTTTAATGTACCACGTAGTGAGGAAAATAGGAAAATGGTAACATTCGTGAAGCAAGGTAAAAACCCTGAAATAAAATAGTCCTTTTGCAAATATGAGCTTTTAGTATATTATTTTTTTTCTACTGCATTTTGTTTATCTGTTGGAGTTTTTAAGGTCAAGTGTTTGGGCTTCAAGAACACACCTGATCTGTGCTTTGGAGGAAACTGATCAAAGAGGATGATTTCCACTGCACAAGGCTGCAGCTTGGCCAATTCTGCAAATACTTGCAGCCGGTTTAGATGGCAAGTAAGGTAAAAATATCCCATAAGGTAAGGAGAATAGCAAAGAAACGTAGAGCAATAAGCACAACAACAGGCTAGAATTTTTTACTAAAAAAATTATGATCAAGTCCTCCAAGGAGCATCTTGCTTATGTTGTTTAAATGTTCAGTCAAATTTTCTGGTTTTGGAAAAGTTGCATCAAATTATATCAGCAAATAACTTGGACCATTTTTAACATTTTGTTCAGAAACCAACATAGCAAAAATTGCTATGTAATATTCAGTGTGTTTGGAAATACTAGCTAGGTTAACAGGTGCTTTTCATAGACTTAGTGTTTAAGGATTTCTCATTTATATGTGTGTTAACGGCCTTGAGCTTTAATTTTGTCTTTTTTTTTTTTTTTCACTTTCTTACTTTTTATGAAACAATGTTGGAATACAAAACATGCAATGGAGAAACAGCATTAACCTTGGCAGCAAAAGGTGGCTTTGTGGAAAATGTGTGAATGCTACTGGAAAACAGTATTTATCCCAATGCCACAAATTAAGGAGGAGAAAGTCCACTTACTGGTAATTGCCTCCTCTCTCTGGGTTTAAGCAATGTGAATGGCACTGCTTTCTCTCTGTTATGTACTCACCCCCGTCCTCCCCTTGGCTTGCATGGTTTAGATGCTGGTCATCTTTTTAGATAAACTAAATGCCCAGCACCTGGTGAAATGTCCCTGGTGTTCAGTTCAGCACTCATCATACTTCAGGTGATCACCAAGCTCATCTTAAACATGCTGCTTCTGTTTTAGGTGATTGCTGAACTGCTTCTAAGAATATGGGACCTACTTTTTGTTCAAGGTACTTTCTCTGTATCTTCAGATACTATAAGACCTTTACCAACCTGGACCTGTTTAAACATCTTAAGGTACAAGAACAGTACAAGAATAAGCCACTGTTTTAACTGGAATACACTTTTTTCTGTAGATCTGGTGGTCTGTGGAGATTTTTGTTTTATCAGATGATTTGTTCAGCAGTAGGCAGGTATTTTTAAAAACCTCTCATCTCATTTCCCTCACCTCTTGTGCTGAAAACAAGCTTCAAGTGCATTTCTAAGTAATACCACAATCTAAAATAAATGAGCTTTACTATTCATTAATAATTTAGCTTATTAACTTCCAGCTTCTGTTAAATGTCAAGTATCTTAATGCTTCTGAAGAGAATCAATCTGTGAAATTAATATGAGAAAAGGCAATATATAATACAATTATCAGTATTAATATATTCAGTTATCTGAATTTTTATTAACTCTCATCAGATGCTATTACCATATTACCATTTTGAGGCCCTGAGACATCTGTAAGGGGTTCTTCTGCAATACCCTGCTTTACATTGCTTCAGTTCTTTTCGATGATTGTAGATCTGTGAAACTTAAGCTGTTTTCAGCCATTGCTTTTAATGAATCCTGTGAAGAGTTAGCCAGTACTGATGAAAAAGGCCTTTCCCATTATAATGACAATTTAGTTTCCTAAGTATTTCTCTATACAAACTCCTGAAAGTGAGGTCTCTCAGCTATGTATTGTTTCTGTGATGCTTTTTATTTTTTATGTTTTTCTGTCACTTAGCACTGACAGTTGGATGTAGGTATTGTTGTGCATCATGCATTTCAATCTTAGTTTCAGTGAAACAGAGGATCAAGTGCTTAACACCACTTAATAGATGATGCTTATGATTTATTTACTCCTTTTAATTTTAAAACAGATTAGAGGAGTCTGTAGTAGAAAGGTAAATGCTGAAGAAGTATCTAGTGGGATGATCTGGGCTTTCAGGTACATTTGGTAATACTGTACTTCAAAGCAATTGCAGATGATTATGAAGACTGTTGACTCTTAAAAACCTTCTTATGCAATGGGACATTCACAAAAGTTAAATTTTCTAACCCTATGATGCTGATCTCCCTCAGCTGCTCCACCAGTCAGTGGAGATATCTTCTATTCCAAAGGTTAGTTTAAAAGTAAAATTAGACTCTTACTTAGCATCATCCTTTTATATGTAAATAATATGCAGGTGTACTTATCCATTAAAACCATGGAACCTCAAAACTATGGAACATGGCCTTTAAGTATGACAGATCTCAACTGTACTTTGGTTGAGAACAACCACTGTGTAGACACTAGGATTAGAGCTACCAGGTGAAAAAGAAAGTCAGAGGTGGAATTTTCTAGGGACACTGTAATGTTTGCAACAACTTTAGAAGTAAGGGCCATATTTTAATATTATGTTATTTTAATTGTTTTCCTTGTGACACACCTGCTTCTGTTTTCTCGAAGTATTGCTGCTTTTGCCTTCCATGCCCCAAAGTGACAGTTTTGAAATCGTGTTGGTGTACCTTGATTTCCCAAGCAGCTGACATTACTATTTATTTAACAAATATTGCATTCCCAGATTTCTAGGTCTGGGAAGTTTTTTAAATTCCTTATAATGGAACACATGGAAAAGCTTTTCTACATTTATTAGATGTCTTTAACTTTCAAGACAATACTTGAAAATGTAATTATATTTTTAGCTACAAGAAGGGGCTCTTTTGAAATGGTATCCACTCTGATTAAATACAACTGTACCATCTACCAACTGTGCATGAAACGTTGGTCAGCAATGCATGAAGATGCAAACAGAGATACAAAGACATTGTTAATCTTCTGAAGAATGGTGGAAATGTGAACATTAAGGGTGAATATTGAGTAACACCATTAGCTGTTGCTGATGAATATGGTCACTGTGAGTTGCTGGAGCATATTAAGCATAAAGGTATGTAGTCAGGAAAAGAGAAATACACCTCTGCACTGGCATACATCTTGCCTGGCTGCTCAGGTGTTTCAGGGTGATCATGGAAAAGAAAGAGGAGTCATAAATGAGGAGATTTGGGTTCTCAGAAGGAAAGGAAGCACAGATGAGCATTCCTGCTAGACTGGAGTGATTCTTATAAGTTTCCATAGTGCATGTGAGAAGGGTGGCTCAGTCAAGGAGAGACTATGCCCTTCTTGCCCTTCTATATTTCTCTTTATTCCCTTCCCTCCCTCCTTCCCTTCCTTCTTCCCACCTTGTATCTGTCCCTGCCTTCTGTCTTTCCTTCCATGAACAGAATTATATTGCTATTAATTAATTAAATGAATTATTTTTGAAATATGCCAGCTTGAATGTCCTCAGTTATAACACTTCAGGTCAAAGCAGACCACAGTCAGGTGAGCACTTGTGCTTATATCTGTACACCTCTTCTTTTGCCTTTGAGTTTTAAATTTGCCACAGGAAATATTTCTTGTTTTAGTAAAGGTTTAACTTAAATACATCTGAAAATGAAGACGAAGTACTGTGGCTTTGCCATATGATGATTTCCAAACCACTTTGGATGTAGGTTCTGTATCCTCCTTCAGTGTGGAGATGTCCAGGCCTTAACAGATGATTGTGCATCAGTACTGTTTAAAGTAGCTGGAGAAGGTAATCCAGACTGCATAGCCCTTCTTTTAGAATATGGAGGAAGTGGTAATGTGCATAATGAGGCCAGACTGCTTCCCATACATAAAGTGGCTTATAAGAGATTTAGGAAAGAAGATTGAAGAAATCATGAGGCAGGATTCTGGAATTTCTGTTTCTTTCCTAACTAATGGAGTAGATATGTTTCCAGCGAAATATCTCTATTGAACAAAACAGTGACAAAAATTGCAGCAATATTTTAATTTTTTTTTTTTTATTCAGGCCTGTTTGCATTAATTAAGGGTTCATAAAGGTTACAAATTGAAGAAAATGGCTTTTTAAGTAACATTCCTAGGCATCACTTTATGACTGTTGAAGGTCATTGCTAAAACTTTGTTTAAATTATCTTGTGTAATTGCTTTAAAATGTATTTTTTTGGCATTCTTCTGCACAGATTTTGAAATTATGACTTGATGTGTTGTCTCTTTCAGTTCTGTGAGTTTACTGTTGCTCCTTGATTGAAACATTTAGCAGGAAAAGTGGTTTGTGTTTTTATAGATTGCATGGATTATGTTCCTTCATGCACAAGAATTGAGTTTTTCCTAGAAACATAGGAAGAATGGACGGAATACATCAGATTGTGTAAATAACTTCCAGTTCATAATGTTGTGATTTATTATAGGAAACTTAAATTGCTTATGTCAGCTCACATTCATCCAAAGTGTTTTAGCAGTCCAAATACGTACTAGCTAAGAACCACGCTGTGCCTGTCATCCCTTCCTTACATTGAGATGATCTTTACCCATTACCACTGGTCATAAATTAGTTAATTGGACTGGAGTATGGCAAATGTACAGCTGGTGCAAATTATTCTCATAAGGAATTCAGGGACATGATTTAGTGGTGGACTTGTCAGTGTAATGTTAATGGTGGGACTTGATATTAGAGGTCTTTTCCAACCTAAATGATCCTGAGTCTAGGAATGTCACTGTTGTATGGGAAGCCTTTTTAGTTAAGCAGGGCCACTGAGTTACTTATCAAACTCCTTATTAAATGACATAACACTAGTCATTGCACAGCTATAGGGCACAATGGTTTTTTATTGAGAAATATTGCTCACACTTCCATCCTTCTTTTTGCTCTCTTGATCTCTCAAGTCTTTTAATCATTCAAGGATTATCATAAGGCATATTTTAGATCCCCTTATGTTCAGGGTGGTACATGGTGACAATGAGTGTGCAATCATAATGTGTAGCATAATTTCCTTACTTTGATTTACACAGTAGACAATCTAGAGTTGCCATTATTAATGCTGTAATTGACTATTTCTACTGAGCTTTAATATTGAATCTTCCACCATTGGTGGCACCAGAGATAGATTTCACCCACCTTAACTTAAAAAAATGTGTTGGGGAATGTACTAAATGTTCTCTTTGCACACATTGATTTCATTTGATGTTTTAAATAATTTTAACTAGAACTTGATTTAAGATCAGCTGGTAAAAAACATATTTAGGTTCAAAACTGGTACTCTGTATTTAATTTTTGCTTCAGTATTTTGCATTGGCGTGCAGAGGAACTTTTTTTTGTAAGTGTCACAGAGACATCCAAAGAATTTGGTAGTCTACACTGCTGCTGTTTCAAGTATGGTGCAAGGTTTTTTTACGTTCAGGAAGGCCAAGTTAAGTGAACCCTTTGACTGATATCAGTAGCAGAAGTATTTGTTTAGCATACTCAGCAGGCCCAAGCATGGTAAAGTCTGGTCCTGCTGCCTTATTGATACAGCAGAAATAGAAAGTGCCGTGGCTGTCCTCAACGTGCGAGTTTTAAAAGGTGCATGGAGGGAAAGGAGAGATTGTTTATCAGTGTGCATATATCCAAAAGGGAGACAATAATAGTGAGCAGATATCTAACAGAAGTTTGTTTAATATGGGTATTGTGTGTCACCACAATTCTGAAATTGAGTGGTATTTTATTCAGAAGTAACAAAATAATAATGCCTCAAGGTAATGGATTTTCATGTTAATTTTATTAAAGTGTGTTTTGAGATTGTGAACTGGCTTAAAATCATTGTCAATGGCATTGATTTTTCTACCATTTTTCTCTTACTTCTTTAGATAATCCTTTCTTTTTGAAACTTCTGTGTCATCTGAAAATATGTAAACTCATGGGGTTAAAGAGGCTCCAGAAACTGTCATCCATGAAGAAGTTTCCACTTCCACCAGTTCTCAAGAACTTAATTCTATATAAAAAATATTATCTGTATGGAAAAGGGATGTATTTAGAATAGTTTTTAAAAATAACTGTATACAGCCTGTAATTTGACTGCTTTCTAATTTTTTTTTTATGAACTGAAGAACTGTTTGATGTTTCATATACCTTCACAACATTCTGTTATTTGTTGTTAGTAGTTCTTCTATGGGAACAAATTTCTTTTCAAAATTAAATTGTTAAAACTCATGTTTTAACACAATATTGTGCTATCCAAATACAGGCTAAATCAGATTATGGATATTGTAATAATTATGTAGAACAGTACATTCTAAATGGGAATTCAGATGAATAAATTATAATTCATCATAATTAATATATTCAGATGAATAAAGAAGAATTTTCATTATAGACTTCCAAATGAAGATGAGAAATATGCTGCTCTCAGTTAGTGACATTAGTTTAATTGTAACAGAAAATAAATGTCTAATTTAGCTGAAAAAAAAATCACTAAATGCACATTTCTGTCATGTAACTACTCTGAAATATAGCACATTTTGTACTTTGAATATTATACTCCTATAAAAAATTCTTTAAACACTTCAAAGCTATTTTTGCCAACTGTTAGCTCCTGGGTACAGCTGCTATGTGTGCATGATTCAAGGCTTGGCAAAATTTGAGGGACTTTAAGTAGGCTCTTTTAAAGAAAGAGTAGATTGTGATGGGCAATCAAACCAGTAAATCAAGTAGCATATCCCCTTGGTTGAGAAATACTGTAATTTTAATAATGGTTCCTTCAGAGTTTTGGCAGATCACTTCTTTATTGACCACACTAAACAACACTCTCAGTGATGCTGAGGTACACTTCAAAGTATTCTTCTGCACATCTAGAAAAAAAAATCTAATAGAATAAATTTAAAGACTATTTAATTAAAAATTTATTGCAGTTACTCCCTTTATTCTACCATCCCTTCCATCTTGAGGAAAGAAAAAAGAATCCAAACCCTCTAAGTAAGAAAATATTACAATTGGTAGATGGGATTACATAGGGCATAGTCAGTTTGGCTAAACACAACATCATCAAGTGTTTTAGTTGGAAGGGACTTTAAAGATCATCTAATTCCAGCCACCCTACCATGGCCAGGGACTCCTTTCACTAGACCAGCTTTTTCAAAGCCCTGTCCAACCTGGCCTTGAACAGTTCTAGGGATGGGGCAGCCACAGTTTCTCTCGGCAACCTGTTACTTAAGAGATATGCTGGTTATCACACACATACACACATTCACACAACCCAAAGGTCAGCTACAGTATGCTTCTGCCCTGCTCCCTACACTGGCTCTCCCTGTTCTTCAGAACTTCTCCTTATTTGCTGGATGTCATTATCATATAAAACTTACTAACTTCTGAGTCAGAGATGTAAATTCCACTTCCAAAGGCAGCTATATCAGTCCTTTGTGCGTCCATCCCTCATCACAACAGATTTACTGGAGCAAATGCAAGGAGAGAAAATTACTGGTCTGGGACATATAGGAGGTTGAACAGAAATCTTAATTCCTCCTTGTGCTCTCAGAAGGGCTACTATTCAGATGGCTTTCCAAGACATATCCTCTGTTTTTTTGCCAGAAATTTTGACCAGGATGAAAAAGAATAACTTGGTCACTTGTAAAAAATTTCCAGGTATCTGGCATCTGGGCCTGGCCCCTGACAGAAGGATGCCCCGGGTGATTGGTGACTGCAGGCATGGCCTGAGCACAGAGAGCCCAGTGGACCCAACACAGCTGACTCCAAGTCAAGGATTCACTGGCCAATACATCCTGGACATACCAGGCTAAATGTGTGTGTGCTTCATAACCTGTAAACTGATATTTCTGTGTGGCAATTTCTAAACAGAAATATGGGCTTAATGATAGTTGTGGTAATTTAGATGAATGCAGTGACCACAATGCAAGAATCTGGGTAATCGTGTATTTGATACAGTGTACTGCAACCAGCAAAGGACACATGATCAAATAGGGCTTTAGACAGGAGATTTTAAACCCTTTCTGTGGCTAGAGCCAAATTCCACTAGTAATTTTAGTCCACGGGCAAAGGTTTATATTTAGGACTTTATATACTCCTCAGGTCCTAGTTACATTGCCTGCAGCATCAAAGCATTCAGATCTAGGACTGAACATTACCCCAAGTGTTTAAAATACCATGGACTAGTCTTTTGAATATCATTAGGTAAGGTAAAAAGACATGGTATTGTCGTGCTTATCTTTTTATCAGTACATCTGGGCCCTTTTTGTTGTTTTGAAATAGAAGGTGGCCTAATCCTGGTTTTAAGCTTTTCTGTCATTCACTGTTGAATCTGTTAATTTATTGAAGACTTCCCCCGGTCCTCCCTCCCTTCACCCCACATGCTAAAGGAAGTACAGCATTATGAGAAAGTGTTTTTCACGTTTTCAAGGTGTCTATGAATGGAGGTAGGAGAAGCAAGACTTATATTTTAAGTGGAATATGAGGTGAGAAAGTCAGGGAAAGGGAACTGTTTTTCCCAGGTCATGTTTATGGTACTGCTAGGAACTGAACACGGGTCTTTTGACTCCCATATTTTGCAGCCCCTGAATACTACTTTTATGTACTTGAGTATGTGGTGGTAGGAGCAAGAAATGTAACTGGACCAGAACTGGTGATTGTGCAAAAAGAGGCAAAGGCATCAGCCCCAGCTGGAAAAATAAATCGGTAGGGAAAAAAACCTTTTTATTTTCCCTGCTTAGACTGTGATTGAACCCTTGCAACACTGGAATTTAATTTTCTCTGCTATTCGGGTGTGTCTCACAGGGTGTTCCACAGCAACCCAATTCCATGGCATGCCCCCCCCACTCCCCCCACCCGCTGCAGGGTAATGTTGTCTAGAAGTAATTAAATGCTCTGGCATCGATTCAGGCATGCTTAGGGGCAGGGACTCCTAACGATTTGAGGACAATGTTTGAAATCAGAGGTATCATTTGGTCTCTGTTTCTCATAGAATCTGACACAAGCAGCTGCAGCAGAACGGATGAGCTCTCCAAGGAGCCAGACATTCAACAGTGGTTACATCAGCCTTTGCAGCACCCACGGGATGGACTTTGTAGCTGTGCATGTTTTCACAGCTCAGGGAAGGAAGGACCAAACCACAGCCATGAGTCCTGTATACGACCAGCTATTCACTGTAGGGGTCACAGTGTCTTGTGAGTTATTCATAAAACTCTGTGCAGTGGCTACCATCAAATTTTGGCAGCTGCATGGCAGAGCCTGGTCTGGGTACCAAGGTGATGAGGCTCGTGGTGAAGGAGTGGGCAGCAGTTTTACTGTTTCACTGCAGCAGTCTGTGTTCTGGCACAGGCTCTTAGTGCCTGAGGTGCAGTTTCTCAGACTACTGCCATTAGTACAAAAGTCACACATGGAAGAACAGAGTCACAAAGTCACAAGCTCTTTTGCATCTGCCGTGAGGTAGGCAAAGGGATTTTTTTCTGATCCTTACTTGAGGCATAAAAAAAAAGCACCTTCTAAAATATCCAGCTGTTTGGCTCTGGTTTGCAAGGAGAAACATGACATAAATTCATGGTAATTTATCTCTGTAGAATAGGTCTTACTTTTCTTTCACTCCCAAGGGCTGGAGCACAAGTCTTATGAGGAGCAGCTGAGCGAGCTGGGGTTGTTTAGCCCAGATGAAAGAAAGCTCAGGGGAGGTGTCCTTAGTGCTCTCTACAGCTGCCTAAAAGGAGTTGTAGCAAAGTGGGGATTGGCCTCTTCTCCCAGGTAACAAGTGACAGGGCAAGAGGAAATGGCCTCAAGTTGTGCTGCCAGAGGTCTAGACTGGATATGATGAAAAAATTTTCATGGAAGGCATTGTAAAGCATTGGGACAGGCTGCCCAGGGAAGTGGTGGAGTTACCATCCCTGGAAGTGTTTAGAAAACATGTGGATATGGCACATGAGGACACGGTTTAATGGTGAACATGATAGTGGTGCTGGGTTAATGGATTGGACTTGATGATCTTAAAGGTCTTTTCCAACCTTAACAAGTCTATGATTCTGTGATTTAATATGCACCTAATCAACAGCTTCTTGCCCTCACCTCAGTGTCTTCTGTGTAACCAGCTTTGCCCGCCTGGTGTACTCTGCCATTGCCATGATCTGCCTGCTAAATCAATCCTTTTAAAGACTTCCCCCTACTTTTTTATTTCACGTGAGCCTTAGGACTGATAGACCTCTGCTCAGGAAAATTGTATCAAGAAAAGTAGTTTCAAACAAAGTGATTTACAGCATTAACATTCCTATTGTGCTTTCCCCCCACACCCCCGACCTTTCTAGGGGAAGTTTTTTGTTTCGGCTTGTAGTAATTAAAAATGGCACCTTACCACTCAAGGTGTCTGTCCTTCAGCGTCCACTTCTGTGCCCTATAGATAAAGATCTTAGCTCAAAAATACACCATCTGTTTCTAAATGCGTTGAACAACTTCAAAGAAATCCAACCCTACCCTTTACCAGGATAAATTCTGCATCTGAAAGAAGTGCATGGAAGAATGCACCAAATTGCTGTATAAATATTTAAAGATATATATTGCAATGGGAATAATTTTCTATCCCTTAAGTGTCACTCACACCAGCAAAAGAGGTACTTGGATCAGGAGAAATATTCCTCAAGGAACTTGTGTTCTGTGGTTCTGAAAAGCTATAAAAATATATTTATGAATGTTTGGTAATCATAAGACTGATATAACAGTGTACCTCTGGTGACATATAAAACATGTTTACATTTAATTTTAAAAATTAAAATTTCTAGTAGAAATCTCTGCATTTGATTGGGCAAAACCATTGCCTTTTGCCCACATATTCTGTGTATAGTAGATATAGTGCCCAGAATTCCCATTTTCATTAGTATAGACTTAAAAAAAAAAAAATAGAAAAAGGCATAATTAAAGACAGTAGAGAATTTACTGTTAGTACTGCTGCTTGTATTTAGTTTCCTATAAAGTAAATCACTTGTTTATATCACTGGCATCTCCTTTTAAAAGAAAATCTTCATAAACACATACACAAGGAAATGCTAAATATTGAGGTAAACACCTGTCTTGATCTCTGTGTATAAACAAACAGCGATTTTTTTAATCTAAGTGACAAACCATAGGTTTGGCTAAGTTACATGGGAGAACTGTCTGGGAGTAAGGCATGAACAAAGGATGAAATCCATGTGCTTTTATAATCACTTATAGTTTAATAATTGCCTGACCTGCACGTGCAAATTACAGTGTATTTGCAAATACCACCACAAATAATAAAGTGGTTACACTGGCAGATTTTACCTAGTTCATTATGCTTTTTTTTTTTGAAATAATAGGCTAACTGCAGATGCCAAAACAGCATCCCACTGCACTTGCACTTCCAAAACTCACATTTTTTGTGCACAGAGCAGTTTCTCTACTACTTTCTTTGCAACACAGTGGCCTCTACTTCCTGTCTGAACCCCTTGAGCAATATCACGATGTAATTCCAAACAGCTGCTGTGATCACCCTATGTCTGTACATCAGTAGCAAGTGAAATGATTTCTATATATAGATTGTAAATCTGTTGGCAACGTTTGTAAAGCACACTGAGATTCTTCCTGAGGAATAAGAGCAGCTATATGAAAGCAAGAGCATTAAGACCATTACTGTGTACAAAGCAGTTTATCTTTTTGGTGTGGCAGAAATGAGGAAGTGGCCAGTCTGCAGAGATGTGGAGAAGCACTTGCTTTGGGCAAAACCCTGGCAGGAATACTTTGTGCTGTCAAAGACACGCAGGTTCATCTCATGCTGTTATTACAGAACATGACATTGTACTGACACAAGATGATTAAAAAGTATTGGCTGTGTAGGAAGGAAAGAAAACTGGGAATGGGAATGACATCTATTCAATAAGATTTATTTTTCCCCCTTGCCTTCCAAATTTAAATGTGATTCAGGTACACAAAAGGAGCAATAAATCCCGAGTCTGCTGCACCTTTGGCACCCAGCTGCGTGACTCTTTGTATAATAAAATAAACCTTCAGGATCCATGCACAAAGGGTGCCTCTGCAATGTGAGCAGTGAGTTGTCCTTCTTTTAATTAAAGGTTGAGGAAATTTTTAGTCCAGAAATGTGCTTGCTTTCACCTAGAGTAATTTTCCCCTCCAGTGCTTCCCTGCAGGCAGGTCGACCTCAACTCCACTTCCAAGATGCACCCTTACTCTCTTCTCACTCAGCAGCACTAACAGAGCCCATTCATTTCTTCACTTGCTATGATTTTTCTGTCTTGATGAGTAAGGTAACCCCAACACCCCCGTCAGCAAAATACATCAGATTAGAGGTTGCCCCATGGCTTGTTGGTGTATAGTGTATATTTATGCCCCCAGCAACTGTTGAGAAAGCTGTTTTCAAAACTAATCTGAGCAATAGGGCAGCCCACATGCACATGTTTTTGAGTGAAAGCTGATCACTGTTTGTGATGATCTGAGTTGTTAAACTGCAATCTAGACCTAGAATCTGCCCTCCCAGTAGCCTGGGGGGTGTTGTAGGGGATCTGTGACAAAAATCCATATTTGAACTAGGATGCTGAATCTGATTTCCAAGCAAGGACTGATTTTGAATCAGGGTCATCTTTACACTTACCCCACTTTCTGTTTCCCCATCAGGGATGAAGAGAAAGATCTTTTTCTTCTGTGTGACTCCATGTTTACGGCATCACCAGGAGAGATGGACTGGACAACAGAATCATCTGGCATGGAGAAAAGCAGCTGAAAAATTGTTCCTTCAAATGCCTTCAGTGCATGCTTCATTCCATTTGCTCTGCTGATACCACTGTTAAATGGAGGTGATGACACATCCTTTTCAGGCACAGTACTGTGTGCACGATTTTGACAAGTTATGTGAGTCTCCCAGGGGAAAGAGAAGCAGCTTGTCCCATCAGTCTACCTCGCAGTCGTGTGTACTGGACAGGCTGCCTGACCCTGTGTATCTACAGGATGGTTTGAATGATGCATTCAACCTGGGCGTATACAAGCAGCATACAAAAATTGAGACAGAGATAAATAGATAGATGGAAATTGCTATAGGTGAGAGGGGGAAGGCAGGCAGTGAGGAACACAGTGGCAGGACAGAGGGGACATGCAAGGAGGGGAAGGAAGGACAGGCTAGCAAACAGGCTGTGGAAGTGGGTGAGAACAGTGGGGGCTGTTCAGGAAGGCCAGGCAGGGGGGACCTGCAGGGCCAGTTACAGAGAAGGCAGTGTAGCAGCTCAAGGCACCAGAGGGGGAGGTGGGAGAGCTTGGGGGCTGCTGCCTCATGTTCTGCGTGAGTGGACAGCAGGAGTGAAGGAGCTGTTATGTGCAGTGAGGGGTGCAAATGCTGCAGGGGGAGGTGGGGGCAAGCAGCAGTACAGAAGGACAGCAGGAGAGATGGGGAAAGCCCAGCTGTGCTGTGGTGCATTGTTTTTAATGTGCTCTATGGCAATTGGACCTGTTCCTGCAGTGTGGGACTGAGCTTAGTATGAGCCAATGTATCTGTCTGACAGGCTGTCCTCAGGAGCCATGACTGAAATAGCTACTGTCCCATGCCTGAGGACAAGATCTCTTTTTGCTTGCCTGTAGTTTTCCCTGCACTCATCCAAATGGAAATAAACATTAAACTATGGGCTTTGTAATGCAGGGGAGCAAGCACCACCTGCCACGGGTTGCTCATGTCCTTTCAGCAATTGTGACAGTGTGCCCCAAGTGTGGAAATGTGAGAAGCAGAACAAAGTCCTCCTGGCTGCTGCTTGAAATAGTTAATTGCTTGGAAAGGCAAAAAGGACACTTAGAAGGGTTTCCTCTTTTAAAACCAAGAAAATAGGCTACCCAAGTTAGGGAAGATTGTCTGCAATCTAGCTGCTGCTGAGTAGGCTCTATTCCACTCAAAGCCAGGAACCTGGGTGCCAAGATATACAATGACAGAGTGAATCCTGCTCCTATAAAATGGGCACTTCCAGTTCTCATTTTCACTCATTAGCTCAGGTCCTACAGGGAACAAACCTTTTAATAATTCCATTGATTGAGTGATGAGTTTTCGCGGCCTATTGGTGTTTACTTCCTGCATACAGGATTTCAACAGGGCATTAGGGAAGAGAGGTTGGATCTTCTGTTAGAGGGTGGTAGAGCATGTCATCAAGTCATGGAATCATAGAATAATTTAGGTTGGAAAAGACCTCTTAGGTCATCAAGTCCAAATGTTAACCTAACACTGCCAAGATCACATCTAAACCACGTCCCTAAGTGCCATATCTTCATGTCTTTTAAATACCTCCAGGGATGCTGACTCAACCAATTCCCTGGGCTGCCTGTCTTAATACTTGACAACCTCTTCCATGAAGAAAGGTTTCATAATATCCAGTTGGAGGATTCATCCTAAACAGTGATCAATGAAGTCAGTGTAAACCTGCCCTCCTGTACTAGATATGGTTCACACTCTGCTCTCCTGCCTTCTGTGATGGAAGGAAGTCCACAGTGCCACCTCACTAGCACAAGGTCTCTTCCTATACTGTTTATGATGGTGTTCTCGAGAGCACAGCCTGGGACACATAACAGGATGCTCAGACAGCTATTTTTTTGCCTTTTTTTTACAGAGAACATTACAGAAATCTGAACATATATAGCTCCTGAGAAAGGATACTGTGAAATGGGAACCAAATGTTTCAGGCAAGAATGCTAATAACAGGAAAACACAATCACTGCTGTCTTTGCTGCAAGAGTTCCTTTTGGAAGTTGGAACCTGTGATCTGAAGTGTTGCTGTGGTGGGAAGCTTCAGCTATAGCTAATGGGCCACAGGAACTGAGCCCTGACCAGTTGCTATGCTTACATAATGCCAAATACTGCCAGAAAGGGAATCCTAAACTCCAAATTAGTGAATACTTTCAGTCTTAAGGTGTCTGTACCTCTATTCTTCTTCCTCACAAAGGTAGTAACACCTTCATGTCCCCTGAAATGACCACTAGATAATTAAAGACATTGATAGTCTTATTATGCTGAAGAACAGGGAAAAAACAAAATGCTGAATAGCTTTTAATTTGTACGATCTCTCCCATGCACTGAAAGAGTAAAGGTTCTAGGTACTCATGGGTCTAGGATAAAGGTATATGATGACAGAACTATGGAATTAGTGTTCAGTGCTCGTCAGCAGGAAAGAACAAATACTATTCCTGCATTTTCTGATCTGTGAGTACTTAGTCTTAGCATCTTTTTTGTGTGTGTAATTGGCCATGTGCTACAGTCTTGTTACTTTTATTAAAATTGTCCTGGAGAGGGATTATGGGTTTTCACCCTTAGCTATTCCCTTGTAAAGAATGAGTACTAAATTACCATGAGTGATGTATAAGATCAAGAAAGGACACAAACCACTCATAACCTCACCTAACTGTGCCAGTTTCCCCCGACTTCAGGGTAGATGTACAAGAAAATACCTCATCCATGTTAAGTAACATCTTTACATTATATCATGGCTAAAATGGACATCACTAACATTTTATGTGTAGAAAAACAGCACCACTAGTGTTGATTCCTTGCCTCAGCAAGGAGTAGCATTGAAAGTAATATGCATGCTGTTAAATCTTCATTTGGAATATTATTTTAGAAGGGAGTAATGCATGTTGCTTTTTCAACTTCCTTTGAGTTTGGAAAATTTGATTTGTACATAGCAAACTTCACATAGACAATTCAGGTATCTGTATGTTTTTACTTTCTATTTTAGCCCAGGAAAATTTGGAGACTTACAAATTCTGTTGTCTCTGAGAAAGCAGAAAAAGCAGGAAGCTCAGAATTTGTTGTGAAACAGTGTATTTGAATAAATTTCATTTTTAACATCATCTTTTTGCCTTTAATATTGTACATGTCAGTGTTGTACATATCAACATTGAACTAATAAAATATAGTGTATTTCTAAAAGCATTTCAGTTTCAATCAGGATTTTCCCACAGAAACTCTGTTCAGCGCAAATTTCCTAACCAACTCCATCACAAGAAGTGTGTACAACAAAATGTTGTCTGCAAAAACACACCCCAGAAAGATAATTTTGTTGTGCTGCTTCTCTGGCTAACTCCAATGATAACAATGTGAACCTTTGTCCTAGATATACAGAAGAAATAAAAACGCTTGGAGTGCTGTTATATACAACATCACCTCTATCCAGAGACACTGGTGATGCAACACTAAAATTAAAAAGGTACTTGCTATTTTTTCCTGCCTGTTCATGTTTTACAGAATTTGGCCCAGGCTTCATTCTGTAGATGCAGCTGAAACAGTGAGCAGAACTTCTACTGACCCACTGACTTGTATATACACAGTTGGTGCATCACTGTGTCTTATACTGTCAAGGTCATGCTCTTAGCTCAGTAAGCCAAGCCTCTTCCTCCTTTTTATTTAATCCAAAGATTTGGTCAATATAAATGAACTGCAGATATTTATTTTATTTTAAGATGTACGATATTCCTCAGTCTGCTTTATTAATGTATTTTGTGTGTCAGAGAAGACCAAGCTTATGAGCTTCCATCCCAATTCTTGAGCAAGATAACTGCATGACAATAATATAAACAGATGATCAAAGTAAAAATATAATTTCTTTATCAAATCTTTATGAAAACCAAGCTCATTCTCCTTTCTCCATTGTCAGTAAAGCAATGTGCACAATGATAAAGCTAAGTTAGCAGTTTGGCTAAACACCATACATCAGTTCAGGCGTCCAATCCATACTAATCAAAAAAATATTAAGTTGGACAAGAACAGTACTTCAATTATTTTCACATTTCCATTAAATAGTAGTTTGACTGTCTAGAATGCACTAGGTTGATATATGTTGTTATAGATGTGTTCCTACTTCTCTGCATCAAAACCAACCTTCCCTCTGTCCTTCTCTCTTCCCTCTCTCTCTCTCTCTCTCACAACACAGGTTTGCAGATATTGCTGTCCTTCACATTTCAGAAAACTTTTCTAGTTCACCATCATTCACTAATAATAGAGAAAAATAAGAAACAATGCAAAGTTTAACCTTTTTTTTTCTGTAGTTTCTTACAGAGGAACATACCTGTCCATAAAACTAGTATCATAATAATGTATCATCTCTTAACAGAAATGCTGTGATATGTGATAGGCATGCAGAATAAAGAAATGAAGGGCACTCTCCAGCTGGACACCAGTCAGTGGCAGCAAGTAATAGCCATTAATAGAATAACCACTAGAGGCCTTCAGTTGCTTGGACTGTCAGAAATGATGAAGGCAGAGCCCTGCTGCCCACCCAGAGCTTGTTCTCCCTAAAGTTTTGGGGGATTCTACTCATTCTTCCCAGCAGAGTGTAATTCTCTGCATGAAAAAAAAATCTCTCGGGAACTCCAAATGGACAAGCCAAGCTGATTCCCCCTCTGATCATCCTAGAAAAAATAAGGGAATTAATAAATATTTCAGTGATTTGTTATAGGCATAATGTGACATTATGAGAACAGTGCTCCCCACAGGTGCTGGCAGGCTGACCTCCTCCCCTCAGCTGCCTTTCCACCGATCCCAACCGCTTGCAAACACCTTGGCGAGATAACAGCATGGTTCCACTAGAAAACCGTGAAAGCAAGAGGAAGTCCGCTGAACAATGGCAAGGGTGTTTTATTTCCAGCCCCTGTGACAGCTCAGGATTAAATAGATTTTCATTGTTCTTTCCCTCCCACAATTTGGACACAACATTGGTGTAAGTGCGCCCGGAGTTTTATTTGCTGCTGCCCCCCCGTCTGCGAGATTGGTATTCTCCCACTGGCTGCCTGCTCTAAATATGGCCATGGCCAGTGTGTCAATAATCCCCCTCTTTAAGGGACCTGCAAACACTAGTGTTGGGACATTCTTGCTGTTCAGATGTCTAGCTGACGTCTGATGCTTAAAACAGAGCATGCTTTCATCCCTTCGTGCATTGTCGTAAGCCCCTGATGATTACTCTTAAAAGGGTGCCTCTGCTATGCAGGGAAACAGTTGCTGACCACACGAGACACAGCTTGCTCGCTTGCTTCAGCCTTCTTGAATGCCTGGTCACTTCAGCTTTGTACCAGCCTGACCAAGCAGGACCATGTCTACCTTTGGCTACAGAAGAGAGCTCAGTAAATATGAAGACATTGATGAAGATGAGCTCCTCGCTTCTCTCACTGAAGAGGAGCTGAAGGAGCTGGAGCGGGAGCTGGAGGACATAGAGCCTGACCGTAACCTTCCAGTGGGGCAACGGCAGAAAAGCCTGACGGAGAAAACACCGACAGGGACTTTCAGCAGGGAAGCGCTGATGGCCTATTGGGAGAGGGAGACCAAAAAACTCTTAGAAAAAGAGAGACTGGGTGCATGTGACAAGGTAAGATGCCAAGGCATTTGCTATTTCCTATAAATATTTGGGGTTATTCTTCACTGGCATGATCTCACCGACTGATTTAATTTCCTTTCAGTCTCTTGTAGCATTTTTAAGAACATTGTTAGCCAGGCTTCTGTGCCTGCTAGAGCTCTGTGTGTTAGCTTGGAGAGCTTTTGCTCTTGCAGGAGATACCTTAAATGCTCTGTTCAAAACAGAAGAAAGTGCCATAGAAACTATCATTAGTGATTAAAATAGGAAAAAAATTAAAGAGCATGTTAAAAATTATTGATAGATAGCAATATGGGCTTTTGGAAAGCATTTGATTTTTTAAAAAAACTACGGAAAGTGCTTTTTACTTTTCTTAAAAAACAATTAGTACTGGCTGCTCAGAAGCACGTCAGGAAGATAATTTTGAATACATTGTTATGTCAGAAGTTTAGTAAGCAGACACCAGGCTTTGTGCTCACTGGAAGGAAGCTGCGTTGCAGTCAGCAGCTTGTGTTGCTTTGTCCCTAATGAGGAGCCTTGGCACAGCTTGGGAGTCTTCTGGCAACTGTTGTCAGAGGGTTACATTACTTAAAAAGTGGCCTGGGGTAGAGTGATCAGCTGAACCATTTAACTGTATTCCCAAAAAAACAGCCAATAGTGTTTGTTAGGCAACTCATCCCTCAAAATAAAAAAGTTAATAATAAAAGCCAGTCCCTGAACTTGAAAGGAACATTACAGCTGGGCAGGAGTGAAGGGCTCAGTCTTGGCAAGCAATGAGCACTCTGTCTCAGCTGATGTCCCTGTTGGCACCCCTCGATCCTTGCTAGAAGTACTTGTGAGACTGAACTCGGTCAAAAAGCAACTTCTGTTTTCACAATGGCTCCATTTGGGGACATGGGAATTTTTAAGTGCTGCTTCATACCAAGCTCTGACTGTTTATAGGGACATGTTTTCTTATGTTTAAATAGAAAATAATGCAACAAAGGAAAAGTAAGCAAAACAGGACTGAGAACCTCTAACAGCCTTGATTCAGAAATTTGGTTCATTTGCAAAGAAATAATTGCAATCTATACATTAGCTAAAATATCCTTCTAGAGAAATGTCAGATGGATTAAAATACCCTGCAATATCCAGGATGTTTTTACATATGTATTCTCCTGCTTGTGAATGATGGTATAATGTCTTTGCAGGCAAGTGCACAGACCAGTAGCTGTCATCAGACCATTAGTATCAGCTTGCAGTCGTTGACTTCACTCCCTGTTTGTCAAGTCCTAGGGAGGCAATGGCAAGATTAATGTTTATTTCCAGCTGAGCCTGGAACTCGAAACCTGGGCAGTTCCAAAAAACCTTCTGAACAGGTCTAGTTCTGTGTCTTATATAACGGCAGGATCTTTCTTTCCCCCCCCCTCCCCCCCCCATGTTTATACAGCATTAATGATGGGTTATGGCTAAACTTTAAAGTGCTGGCAAAAGCGTCTATACTTTTTGATCTAAGAAGAAACTTCCTAAATGCATCCTTAAATAAGAAAATGTTGACATGCTAAAACAGAGGGCACAAAGGTTCTCTTCACTGAAGGCAGTAAAAAAGCTCCTCAAAAGCCATTTTCTTCTTGCTTTCAACTGTCTGGAAGTTAGACACCTTTATCTAAGATGGTTATTTGTGCTCCTTCTATAGTTAGTGGTGAGAGATCAGCTGCTCCAGAAGGCAAACAAGCTGCAGATAGCCTTTTAGGGGGAATAACTTGTCCTCCAGAGATATTTACTTCTGCATTGACTACCTTAGTCCTAAATTTTCATGAAATTACTGCTACAATGTAAGGTGAAGCCCTGCCGGCTGCCTCCAGCAGTCCTGTACTGCAGTGCTGCCACAGTAATAGAATACATCTCTATGGATCTGCAAAGAGAAGAGTAATCGATTTTAAAATTATTGTGCGGATTGCTGTGACACCAGGCAATGTATATGACAGGAAACTAAATTCCCTCTCTGGCCCCAGAAATGCCTGTCAAAAAAAGCCCAAAAACCCAAACCCAAGTATTTTTTTTATTAATGCAGCGACATCAAACATATTAGCAGTGCATTTAGGGGCACCACCTTCTGCTCATCTGCAGCTGTGTTGAAGACTGTAGTATATATTCATAGAGAGAGAAAAGCAAAGCCATGAAGATAGATTCCTGGATACCTGGTGTTTTCAGATTTTAAAATTCTACACATATATAGAAACTACAGATATAAATCTTAATCCCAATAATAAACCTATAGGTATATTAGGTATAGGTATAGAACAGTATCTCTCAATCTCTCCGCATAGGGGCCTTCCTGGACATGATCCACAGGAGAAGCAATGGGGCTGGATCCTGCAAGACCTCTATGTGCAGGTCCATGTGATGGGACTCTGCAAGCCCCCCAGGTGCTGAATGATCAGGAACATCAGGCGGGAACAGCTCAATGTCCTGTTTCATTACGAGTCACCGTTCTGCAAACATTACAATTAGCATCTGTTTTGCATGTGTCCCAACACAGAACTCTGCTTAAGATTGTGAAACAGTACAGTACAATCTGTCACTACTGTTATTTTAACCTTTCCCTGTGTTTTCAGAGCTAGATAGTTAAGCAAACCTAAAACTACACAGGTTGTCTAAAAATAGGCTGTCCTGATAGTTTTTTCCAGAAACACAATTGCTGTGTCTCTGCAGAGTTTATTTACTTTGGAAAATACCCTCTAGTATTTTACAAAGACTAAAAAAAACCCACTGAACCTCGTGAATGTTGCTGACATAATGCATACAGAGCAATTATATTTCATCCAAAATTTTATGAACATTTACAGTAGTAAATAAAAAGGCATAAGCCATGGCTTGTCTAGTAGGCAAAATATGATGTGGGAGATCTTTTGGGGCAAAAGGTTGGTTGTAGACTGTGACACATAGATCAGTCATGGCCCACAGATCCCTGCAGCACTACTGGAGTCTTCCAGGTAGAGACTGAAGCTTTCCTGGGGAAAAGACTTTCTCCTGCTCCAGTGCAGAGAATTCTCTTTTGCCACCATAACTGCTAAGGGCACCAGGCAGAGCTTTAAGATGCAGTTCCAAATTTGCCTTCCTGGTACCCACCAAACACACTAAAATAACCTTATGTTTCAGAAAAAGAATCTATTTACTCTTTAGACAATGAATTATAATGATTATGGCAGCTGACCTGCAACAGCTGCCAGTGAGAACAGACTGAGCTCTTGGTAAACATGAAGAAATTTGGGGGTTCTGAATATGTTACCTTGCATTCCATGTTTCCTGTGGAAATGCATCTGAATCCTTTCTTCATGAATAGTTTCTAAGTCCATGCAGTGTATCCAGAGTACTTTTTACATGACTCCTGTAATTCTGTATTGTGTTGCATGTTGGTATACATGCTTGCACATGCAGACACTATTTCTATATTAAATCATGGCAATCTTTAACATTTTTAGATGTACTAACATATGCAAGGGAGCTTGAGCATTGACACAGATGTCTAATCCTCATGAAATGAAGAAGCTTGTTGCTCATGTTCATTCTGAAATTGTTGTCTTGTGTTACTGCTGGCAAGGGTACAAATTATATCCCCTTGCAGACATGCCAACACAGAAAACATGAAGTATGTCCGTGTTGTAATATCTTGTATCAAGTTTTCTCCTGGCAGAATCACTGACGTTGGTAAAATGATTGCAATTTATGCTAAACATTTTCTACTGAATTTGAAAGAAGTAATGTTAAAAAGGTGTTAGGTGCTGCAGCATTTTCTATTCTCCTAACAGAAATCTCTGTGGATTTATTTTTAGGTTTCGGTATTAATATATAGTTTCAATATAGTTGTTTTTATGCTAAAAGTCAGTAGCTATGTTATTTCAATCATGTTTAACACCCACACCTACATTCCTGTTCAGGATTCTGAGCAAGAAGAAGATAATTCAGAAGAGCTGCAAGAAGAATGTTTCACAGAAAGCAATAGCGAAGTGTCTGAGGAGGCATATACTGAAGAGGATGATGAAGAAGAAGAGGAGAAGGAAGATGAAGATGAGAGTGATGATGAGAATGAGGAAGAGCAAAATGCTGCAGGTGGCGAAAGACCTGAGAATGGCAGGAATTCTGACCACATCAGACGCAAAAAGTGTAATGGCTCAAAGGACAGTGAAAACTTACTTAATGGCCATGATGGAAAAGACAATGATAGTCAGAGCTTAAAAAGCAGTGCCATTCACCCTTGTGGAAATCCAACAGTTATTGAGGATGCTTTGGAAAAAGTTAGGAGCAATGACCCTGACACCACAGAGGTCAACCTGAACAACATCGAAAACATCACTTCACAGATGCTTATACAGTTTTCCCAAGCCCTGAGGGACAACACAGTGGTTAAGTCATTCAGCTTGGCTAACACCCATGCTGACGACAACGTGGCAATAGCTATTGCTGGTATGTTAAAGGTAAATCAGCATATAACTAGTCTGAATATCGAGTCAAATTTTATCACAGGCAAAGGCGTGCTGGCCATCATGAGAGCTCTGCAGAATAACAAGGTTCTAACAGAACTGCGGTTCCACAATCAAAGGCACATCATGGGCAGCCAGGTGGAAATGGACATAGTTAAGCTGCTGAAAGAGAACACCACTCTGGTCAAGCTGGGGTACCACTTTGACCTTGCTGGCCCAAGAATGAGCATGACAAGTATCCTGACAAGAAATATGGATAAACAAAGGCAAAAGCGTATGCAGGAGCAGCGGCAACAAGAGTCAGGCTGTGATGGAGCCATCAATCCAAAGGCCAGAGTCTTGCAGAAGGGGACACCTCGGTCCTCACCTTATGTGTCACCTAGGAGCTCCCCATGGTCTTCTCCAAAGCTCCCTAAGAAAGCACCTCCAGTGAAAAGTCAACCTTCAGCTCCTGCACCTCCCCCTCCCCCACCACCCCCACCCCCACCTCCTCCTCCCCCAGTTATTCCAGAGAAGAAGGCACCAACCAGGAATATAGCTGAAGTCATCAAACAGCAAGAAAGTGCAAAAAAAGACTTACATAATGGACAGAAAAAGAAAAAAGGCAAAAAAAGCAGAAAACATGAGAACAACATATTGAAAGAAATTAAAGATTCTCTAAAATCAGTCTCAGACAGAAAATCAGAGGAAGGTTCACGACCCTCCACCCGTCCATCCACCCCACAAAGGTCTCTCCATGACAACCTTATGGAAGCGATCCGGGCAAGCAGCCTAAAGCAATTAAGGCGGGTAAGTAAGAGATCCTATTTCAGTAACTGATTGTGGCCCAAAAATAGCACAGGCTCAGTTAATTTTAGCACATATATTTAATAAATGAAAATTCTTAGAAATGTGAGCATAATAAAGTAATTGGGAGGAGGCTTCCCCCTGATTAGGCTTTTCTCAGCACACTGATTTCTCTCCAACTGTGGAAGTGGGGTACTTTCCCAGGTTCTCTCTTGGGAGATGGTGGATAGCACAGGGCTCTTGGGAGCGTATGTCTGGTAGGAATGTTGCCATCCAGCTTGTACAGCAAATGTAGTGAACACCCTTCCCACCCCTGTTTCATAGGTGGAGGTACCAGAAGCCCTTCGGTGAAAGCCTGGATGACAGAAGAAGCAGAACCCTGCGGTGACTGAGGGGAGGTTTCTTGTCCTTTCATTGGTGGTAACACAGACTGTCTAGCAAGCTGCTTCCGAAGTACTCTCTTAGGTTCAAGCCATTTCCCTTTTATTTCAAAGAAATAAACCCACTAAAAACAAAATAATGCTTTAAGGATCCATTTGCCTTGTAATCTGTAAATATGGAAATAATTTTCTTTTTTATTTAACAAGATTTCTATTGAGAAATTGCTGCTTATTTAGATATTCTTGTCAATATCTGATTGCACATCACTTGGCAAGTTCTTCACACTGAGATGTAATAGTTTAACAGCCTGTGGTTTCTTCTGGTTTTTCCATGAATTTACAATAAATGTGGTTTGAAGCTTTCAAGCAGGCACATAGTCTTTTATTTCTGTGAGTGAAAACCCACCAGACATTTGCATCAAGTTCCTGAACATTCAGAAAGTCTCCTGGGAAAGAACCTGAGATCTTTCTCAGCTGCACCTGAGCCTGTGTGAAGGATAGTACCTGAGCCCATATATTAGTGCAATTCATTACTGGCATGGGAAAAAGTGGTTCATAAGGCTATGTACAACTAAAACTAAGACATAGGCTGTGTTGGGTCACTGGTGTTGCATACCACACCGTAAACCTTGGTCTAAGAGAAGAAGTGGGAGATGAATAGATATGTAGTTCATGTTGACTTATAGGTTAAATATTAATGTCGATATTTTACGGGTGCAGCAAAATTATTCAACTGAGATCCATTCAGTACACGTGCTGTATTTAGGCAGAACTAACCCCAGCTGAGATATCCAGTCAGACAGAGAAACCTGAAAAGCAGTCTGCCATTCAGGTGGAAAAAGGCTTTCCTATGGTATCAGTTGAACAACAAGGAGGGTGTGAACTGTCAATATGATACAGTGGAAGCAGAGCCAACATCATTGGGAGATGCATGGCTGGAGGTATCACATCACAGGCAATGGCATGAATAGCCCTTCTTCATGTAGCGCTAGACATCTCCCTTGGTCAGATTAGTTATGGTTCTGGGTGCTTCAGCTAGTGTGAAGGTAGTGATAACGTGAAGAAAATTGAGTAGTGGCCAAAATGTTGAAAGGCGAGAGAAGAGATATCTTCAGAAGCACTATTAAGTATTAATTAGTTTGCTCATTGCAACTCTAAATAACAGAATTAGTATTTCTTTTACATAATACCACATCAAAGAAAAGTAATTACTAAGTTACTCAACACTGCAGAGGTACTGAAAAACACAGGTAAGCTTCTTCCTAGAAATATTGATTAGACAGATTTCCCCAGACATAGGAAAAAAATTACTGGAGAGAAATGAAGCATAACAGAAAGGGGATCCTTTAACAAATTGTCAGGAATGTTACTGTCATAGCAAGAAAATGGTGAAAATACCTTTTTGCATTTGTATTTATTGACTAGAACATAACAAAAGCAATATATAACTAACTGAAACACTTTCCAACATTTTTTTTTTTGCCTCAGGATCACAACAGCTCATGAGTATTTCTAGACCCAGTGTCACAGGAAATATGGTACGTACAATTAGTCTTTAGCTGCCTTTATAATTGCATAGGCTCCTATAGCATAAAATCAACCTATGATCACTTTCCCCTGACCAAATGGAAACTGGGGCTTGGGATCTTCTGAGGATGGAAGCAATACTGGAATGCAGATCACAGTCAGGAGTAGACCTCTGGCCCCAGACTTTGTCTCCAGAAACTTTCTGAAGGATGAGAAACATCCTGGATGTTTAATCAAATGGAAAAAGCAGCTAAGCAAGGGAAAATAAAAGACAGAGAGGGAATGCAGGAAAAGCACAATGGAGAGGATTTGGTGGGACACAAGAAAATGCTTTTAAAAACCCAAATCATACTTTTAAGGAAAGAGGGAGAGTAAGAAGTGAGGAAATTATCTGTATGGGAGGTGAAAAATTATACAGAAAAAGAAGATGATAAAGAAGAAAATGAATACTGAAGAGTGACTGGTGAGAGAAAAGAATGTGGAAGAAGAAAAAAGCCTAGAAAAAAGGAAAAGGGAAGGTAGAATTCATCTTTAAGGTTGGTAAGTGCTGTTGGGCTTACTCTCTTGCAGAAGGGGAGGGTGATGGGCAGAGTCCTTAAGAAAATTTGGCCAGAACTCTTGACTCCTGAGGAGGCTGTGAAGTGACCATCAGCCCTCTCAGGTGTGAGTCCTGCTCTGATGTATTGTAAGGTAATGGAGGTGGTGGCCACGTGTGGTTACTGACGCTGCTGGGGCACAGCTGCTCACGAAGGGTCAGTCCTGTGCCTTAGCCAATGTCCGATCTGGGCAGTTACCTTCTGCCTACAGACATTTCACAGCTGTTTCACTTCGAGGCAATTCAAAGCATGGTTCCTATTTGTAGAGCCACAAGGCAGAACCCCCCGAACACCTCATTAAGGTTTTTATGACCCACTGAAAGGAAAACCAGTCCCCTTCCCTCCTCAGATGGGTGTCCACCTTGCTGCTGAGCCCCCTCATGACTGTGTTTAAGGAGCAATCTCTTTTCCATTCAAACAAGCAAGCAAGCACCGTATGAACAAGCAGACAAACCCCACTCCAGGAGATACTGTGCCTCTGTATTCCAACAGGAATATGGTTTAGCAGGAGTCAGGAGGTGCCAAGACAAGTTCCTGCCTTGGGAACAAACACCCTGCAACTGTGCATTGCCCTTGGGGCCCAGGTCCTGCCTGTAAGCTCAGTTTGGTTTCCATATCCTTCCATTCAGTCATACAGAGACAAATGATCTCCTTTAGAGGCCTGATTAGCTCTTGTTTGACCTGTAGGGATGGTGTCCCTGGGTCAGTTCCTGCACAGCCAGTGCTATGCTCCCATCAGAATTGTACTCAGGAGCCCCAGGATGCAGGTATGCTCCTCATTTGGACTCACAAGGCTCCAGCAGTTTTTGGCCATCCATTTTCTCTCAAAGACCAGTCAGAGAAACAAACAAACCAAAATCTGTCATCAATGCTGTGTAAAATGGAACAAGTGGAATCCTGTGTCCCTCACTACAAGAAGGACATGGAGCATGTCCAAAGAAGGACAACACAGCTGGTGAAAAGTGTGGAGCACAAGTCCTCTTAGGAATGGCTGAGGGAGCTGGGGTTGTCTAGCCTGGAGAGAAGGAGGCAGAGTGGAGACCTTATTGCTCTCTACAACTCTCTGACAGAAGGCTGCAGCCAGGTTGGGATGATCTCTTCTCCCAGGTAAGAAGTGACAAGACAAGAGGAAATGGCCTCAAGTTGCAGTAGGGAAGGAAAGAAAACCTTCTTCACCAAAAGAGTGGTCAAGCATTGGAATAGACTGCCCTGGGAAGTGGCAGAGTCACCATCCCTGGAAGTGTTCAAAAAATGTGTAGATGTGGTGCTTAGAGATGTGGTTTAGAGGTGGATCTGGCAGTGCTGGGTTAAGGGTTAGACTCAGTGATCTTAGAGGCCTTTTCCAACCTTAGTGATTCTGTGATTCCATAAAAGAGTTGACCTACCAAAGCCTTACTGCTACCTGTAATTCCAGTATGTGGCCCTTTAATTCATGCCTCATCACCTAGCGAAGTGTCTGAGTATATAGAAAGAAAAGGAGCTTATGAAAGTCCAAGAAATTTTATGTCCACGTCTTCTGGAAGTTTCCTGCCTCCTGCTGAGTCCCCTGTTGATGTTCTGGATAGTGACCCACTTTGCTGGGATTCAGCTGAGGGCAGAGGTGCTGATCTGAATGCCCTGCAGATGTACTTCTTTCCCTCCAAACAGGGCAGGCGGCCCTGGAGGCTCCTGCCAGGTAAAGCCACATTCATTTCTGGAGGCCGAGTCTGTGCTGCACACACAAGGGGAGCCAGAAGAGCTGGTCCAGGACAGTCCCCGCTTGGTTTAGTGGGAGAATGTATGTCCTGGGAAGCTGCAGGCAGAAGGGAGAAGGAAGGTATGGCCAAGGCCTCTCCCTTGCCCACATGTTAGGACAACGCAGTTACAACCCTTGCAGAACAGAGCAGAAGCTCTGAGTATCCCCAACTTCCACATCACCGCTCATATGTTTTCCTCAGAAGTCCTTCAGGTCTATGGAAGTAATGATTGAGGCAGAGCAGACCCACAGCCCAAACAGAGAAGATTTGTCTGTAGGTTGTTTGAGAGTGACATATAACTACCATGAGTTAGCCACGAAGAGGGGATTTGTAATGCTGGGATGTAAGGGGAGAGGTAGCTCCAAACACTATTCCTGGGTGCAGGCCCAAGTGAAACAGCACCTGGAAGAGTGTGTATAATTCCAGTAACTGACAGCCAGGAAAAATTGTTTTGAATTGGAAGAGGGACAGAAAATGGCTAGGATAATTGGGGAATTGGAGAGGCTGTCCTGTGAGAGAGATGAGAACAGGTGGTGGGATCAGTCTAGCCAAACAAAGGCTCAAAGGATTTCAGCTCATGTCTATAAATACAGCAAAGGGGAAAGAGCTACAGGACACAGATAGCAGTAGGGAAAAAAAAAAAAAAAAAAAAAAAAAAAAAAAAAA